TCCTTGGATGATATACTTGATAAACAGTAAAAAGTCTTAGCGCAGAGTTGCAAACATAAATTATCTTGCTCCTAAATGGATGTTAGGAAATGAATGCACTGTATGTGTTTGGTTTTAATTCCCTTCGTCCCTATGATCACATAGATTTCCTCCCATAAAATGTTATTTACATCCTAGTTATCAGTTACTCCTACCATCGACCACCATGAACAGAGTGCTTGGCTGTAAACCCTCCAATAACTGATACCAGACTTAGACTTCCTTCCTAAGACTCTAGTTTTAAGACTTGACTCGATAGAAAAGTTGATAGGGAACCATTCCTTGTTTTGCAAAAGCTGAAATTTCTAATTTGTTTTCAGTACACCCCAAATATTCACCATTTTACGTCTGCACTGGTTAAAACCTCTGGGAATTTTCTTTGTCTTAAACAGAGGCAGAATTGGCACCCAAAAGCTCTGTTCAGCTTATGCTGGCTGCATTTACTGTTAATGACCAGCAGATATTAAAGGCATTAATCCATAAGGTGTTATCTGTATTTAACATGGCAAAGCTTAGGTAAACATACATGTTACTTTCTATATATAAGATTTTAAGGTCTCATTCTTAACCGATGATACGTGTTTGTCAGATGTATGCTATATGCACAATTAGTTTCCATAAACATGTAACTCCATTGCTGGGCAAGAAAATCATCCAAATTGTCTGGGAGAAGCAGAAAGCATGTTTTAAACTAATCATTTAATTTTTGATTTATAAATTAATCATTTAAGAACTGTAGAACATGGTAACGTGGTGCTGTGAAGCAGCTTTACTAGAACCTGGTACAAGGGCTGTGCTACTGTAGCTGAAGAGAGCTGTGAGGCTTGACACCTCTTAGTGCCTAAGGAAGGCACCAAAGAATTGGTGGTGGCTAAAGAAAAGATCACCTGTGAAGAGTTTATCCTTTTTCTCAGGTACTTGCTAGGAAGGAAGATGTTGGTGGGAGGAGGAGATGTACCTTCTCTAATTGTGGGAGGAAGAGGTTCCTTCTGGAAAGGGTGCTTTCATTGTGGTGTGTTTTTTTTTTTTTTCCTCTTTCACCCCATGCAATCTAACTGACAGTGGACAGAAGTTCACTTCCCTGAACTTTTGCAGTACAACGCGAGGAATATTTTGATTATTTCTACTGACTAATATCTATCTAATGACTAGTATCTACTGAATAATATCTATCTATTTCTATACAGACTTATGGAAATACTGACGTTTTAATACTGCAGTTCTGATGTCCTTTTTCCCTACTCTTGACATACACATGCACTGGCTTGCAAAGGCGTGGGAGAAGAAGATTTTGCTGCTTTAATTCTACTCCAGAAATAAGGCAGCTCAAGTGTTGGGAATTATGAATGAAAAATTGATTAATAAAATTTCCTTGCTTTGTCATGCCTCGGTCAAATTCCCTAGAACCTCGGGCAAATTCTACATTGCCTGTTTCCATATGTGCCGTATACATTGCTCTATGTATATATGGCACGAAAGCATGCAGCGTAAGACAAATTGTGCTACTTCCGTGCCATCTATCATTTCAGTTTAGTTGTGTATTCCTTAGAGACTCCTTTTAAAACAGGAAGAGTCTTAGAAATTAATTCCTTATCTTCTGCCAAGTTGTAGAAGTCTGAAGAACAAACAGACTGTGGCATTTTATATTCTCTAGGCAGCATGACTTACCATCCCCAGAAATATCATTTCCTCTTCTCTCATTTTCTCTGTTTTCTTTCGTTGGATATATCCACGCCAAACCTGCATTGTAAACAAACTCTAATGAGATAAATGGGCCTTGTTACAGCTTCCTTTACTGTGGCAGACACAGGAAAAAACAAATAGAGGAAGGAAAGGCACAATATACTATTGAAACTATTGCTCTTTAACAGGTTGCCATCTGCTATTTTTTTCAAAAACAAAATTCTATCCTCTCACACTGGTATATATAGCTTCCAAGTGCAACAATATCAGGGTTTCAAAAAGTGTTTAGACTTAAGATTTAGATCGAGCTCCTGTTCTCATCAGGCTGAATCATCTGAATTATTTGTCCGTAAGGGCTTTTTCTGGAACTTAGCAGTGGTCTCCCTTTGTCATCTTTTCACTATATGGAATGAACTCTTTTCCCTGGAGATCACAGAAAGAGGCATGAATTCTCTGAGATGCACTGGATTCCAAGGGGATGTCAGAAAGAGCAACTGAGGTCATAAAAATCAGAATGGAAAAACAACGTGTAGGTTATAAAGTCATCCTGCGTTGCCAGCGCAGGACTGTTTCCATTGATCTCACATCTAGCGTCCTGTCCCATTTTGTTAAGTGGTTTAAATGATGTATTTTTCACCTTGCTAGACACCCTGAAAGCTATCATTTCAGAATGCTTCCTATCCTATAAGCTGTGTTTCTGCCTACTGCTGTTATTCTGAACCAAAACATTACCATTTTGTTCTGACACTTGTTCAGCGTTCTGCCAGAACTGTTGTTAAATCAGAGATTTCACCTTTTGAATGCAAGTGGCAGCACCATCTGGACTTAGACCCATCTGGACCTGAAGTTTAGTTTGTCTTTCTCTCTTCTCTTCAAGGTACGTTTGCTTCATGAATGCTGCTCGACAACGGCCTTGGTGAGCCCGTTCTGCAACCTGGATCACTTTAATGGCTTCTTCAGATGTTATAGCCTTGACAGGTTTCTTCAACAGCACAGCCAAAAAGGTATGGACAAAAAAAAAGTATTAGTTATGTGTTTTGATAATTGCCTACCTCAGCACATGACACAACAAAATGAACTTCTTGCAGAAACTTTCTAAGACAAAAAAAAATTCCTGTCACAAACAGCAGAGACTCCTGTCTCAGTGCTATCTTGCAATATCTTGGAAGATTGATACCTCGAGAGACAATGTTTTTTTCTGAAGACCTTGAGGAGAAAGTGAACCTGATGTATTGATGTGTGACAAGGAAAGCCTGATGCTATAGTGGGAAGCAAGAATGGCTGTACATGGCTTATGCATGCTGAACTTTATCTATCTGAGAAAAAAAAGACATAAAGAACCATAGGGCTTTGTCCTATGAAAAGAAGACCTTCTTAGGCTATGGAATGCCTTCCTTTTACTTTTCTGAAGGGATAAGTTTCTGGATGTGCTGCTGGGAGCCTAGCTCTCTTGCTGAATGGAAGGATCGGCTGTTCTGAGTCAGCCCAGCCCAAGTAGAAGAGCCCTGGGGGAAAAAAACCCCAAACATATCAGAGCAGTGCAGCTGGAGGGAGGAACTCCCCTTTCTCACTCCTGAGAACTCTTGTTAACCCCTCATGCTCCCCGTGGAAAAGCTGAATTATTGTCCTTTCTTGACGTTAATCCCCCGATTGGAGACAGTTCATATTTAATGCTTCTATATACATCGTGTGGAGCTCACTATACTACACTTTCAGCAGGGCTTTCTATAAGAGAATTACACACAAGGACAAATGATCTGCAGATCAGACTCCTCTGATGAACTCCACTGTTTTTGATTTATGTTAGACTGCTTGTAACAGTACTGCCACGGACACTGAAGAATACAGCGGTCTGTTACACAGCAGTTAGGATTTCCTGAGTACACGGCTTGCTACGATGCATGCAGACGTGCTGACAACCCTCTAGCAATCCCAGAGGTGACTAAACTGGAAGTGCAGCACATGGCACTGGACTCATACTATGTGAGATTATTTTATTCACATTTATTGAATCCTGTGCCCCTCTTTGCAGCATCCTGGCAAGGGGAGACCTGGACCTGCCAGAGCCTGAAGTGCAAAAGCCTGGTGCTCCCTGGTGAGATGGCTGCATACCCAATAGTCTCATCTGTAACAGATGCCATGTTGAAAAGGTGTGAGAGCAGAACTGAGAAACAAAAAGGCTTCAGGATGTAATGTGCCAAAAGAGGGGATCTCCACAGACCAACATCACGTTACTAGAGGAGCAGAGAATTTACCCAGAGATTTACTGTGGAGGCCAAGAGGCCTGCAGCTGCCTATTAAAGCAATCTAGTAGAGAGCCTGTGCTCTGCCTCTGCAGACCGCCCCTGTGTGACTGGTGCTGCTTCTTTCCCTGGGAACCTTCCCTCCCTTGCTTTGTGGGATCAGTACACGCAGACTTCCCCCACCAGCACAATTACTGGTGGAGAATTCAACGGTTGCGGCAGCGCAGCGGTTTGACTAAGTGGTCTGATCAGGACTGTCTCTTATGGCCATAACACCTATGAATCTAAGTCATCCAGGCACGTAGGCACAGTTGTTTATTTCAAGGGGTTAGCAACGACTGCTTGTAGGCGACGCGCTGCTTCGAAAAGGTCAAAAGTATATCAAATCCAGAACAGTCTTCACTGGAGCGCTCGTGTACTTCTCTGTAATGACTTTTGCTCTGCCAAAAGTCAATTTTCTACTCCTCCTAGCAGCTGCAGCTCTCTAGCTGCACAGAAGAGACTGCAGTCATTGTTCAGGGGTTACAAAAAACTGAATGCTAACAGTCGTGCTGACCTGAACTCTGAGTTTTGCCCGTTCCAGTTAGGAATCCTGGTTCAGTAAAACTTAAGCCCAACTTGATTTCAGTTGGACTAATTACGTGATGAGAGTTAGCTACACAAATAAAGCACCTACTAAACTTGGCTAAAGTGCTGCCCCTTCTCTGACACTTTCACACACATAAAGCGGAGTCGATTCATTTCAGTCTTGAACAGACTCAAGGTGTGACTGGATATTGTTAGACAGGAAAATTTAATGTGACTTTCTATTTGTGCTTTATCTGTAAACAGACTTTTACTTCCTAACTGCTATAAAAGTACTTTTCACTTCAGTGGCTTATGTGTTCAGACACATGTGGCTATAAACTAAAAAAAGTTAAGCACGTTATTATGTAGGTATGTGGTATGCTTACCTGTGTTTGCAATCCAGCGTTAAGCAAAATCTGATCAAGGGTTTTCTTCCTCTGCTGCAGGACTTTCAGGTTTTCTTTAATGACATACCTTGGGATAGGTATTTCTATGTCTTCCTGGAGTAAGAAATAATCATAAGATGCTTTTTAGAACTGCATTAAAATCAGGTTATTGATTGAACACCTTTACCAAGGAATTAAATTGGACTGAGATTGTTGAATATTTTGGAGCGCTGGGGAATTTGACCTCTGTAACAGCTGCCGAGCTGTTATTTTGCAATTACTTAAGGCCTAATTCAACAAAAACAAATAAATCAACCCAGTTTCTGAACCATGGGAGCCCAGAAATCTATCTCTTTTATAATGGCTCAATTATATTATCAAACTCTTAAAATATTTGGCAGGGTTGCCGGAAATTTAAACATGATTTCCGCTGAATTGAATACCTCTGGTTGTATGGTCATCCGACTCTTTTTTTTTTTTTTTAATCAACATGAAAAACAGATCTCTTCTATTTTTTTTTTAACCATTGCAAGCAATCAAAGAACAATTTTGTTTGTCTGCAGGTATTTCTACCTGTAGACAGACTGTCACTGTCTGTGACTGCGATATCTCAGTCACTTCTCAAAATCAGGTGTGACTAGAAGTGGCTATCTTTACCCATTTCCATCATTAGAAAGATGTAATTGATTCACATTTCTACCGATTCGCCTCCTCTAGAATGTCACCCTTGTTGAGAAATGAAAAAAGGACACAGACAGGCACACAAAAAAACTCCCCAAAAGTTAAGATGCTGTAGATAACCTGTTCTTTGTATCACACTGAAAACTGGAGACAATTCTTCAAGAACAATTACTGACAAGTATACTTCTTCAGGGTCGGGGGGAACGTGTCTTCACAGGTCTGGTTCATACTGGTGCAATGATCCCTATATACTGTTTCAGAAACATCTAGAATATCTTCTCAAGCAAATGATTTATATAGAAGGAGGGATGGGGGAGACGGGCAGTAGTTACCTTGTCGTGCTACTCAGGAGTTGCACGGTCAAGTTAGAGGATAATTTGTCCTCAGGTATATGTGGGCACTTGGACCTTTTCCCTGAGAAGCCCAAGATAGGTACAAGACTTGATGCTGCGCTATCAGTGTTCTCTGTTCTGTCTGCTGTGGAAACGGGTGGGCTTCGACCTGCTTGGGGAGACCTTTGACTTGAGCCTTTGCAGCCTCAGTGCCGGCTCTGGTGTGGACAAATAACAGAGGAGAAAAGTGCTGGCTGTAAAGAACAAGCACCGCTCCTGCCTTGACACAGGCGCATGGTAAATGTGCTGCCTGTGAGCTCTAAGGGATTCCAATTTCTAGAGCAAGAATTTGCAGGGAAGGCTGTGGCCAACGAAAACAGCGCCTGTGAACTGCCAACTTAAAGATTTCTTTGTTAATTCCATCGGTTGCACACTGTGCAGACCAGGACATCCCTATTACGGCAGCATAAGAAAGCTTTCCAGTAGGACTGTATTTATCCCTATTGATTTTATCAATGCAGAGGTCTGGTCAGCTAAAGTTTCTAAATATTTGTCTTGTTAAGCTCCCTGTTTGCACCTTCCAACATCCTTGATTGTTGATAGAAATGATTATATGTTGGACTCTGAGTGCAAATCGCTCTAGGATGGATTACAAATCTGGCTGTCTTCAGGTATGAGAACTCAAGCAGTTTGGGCATCCTTGCGTAGGATGAGAGGGCTTTTACGCTATCAGGTAGCAGTGTGAGTCAGTGCAGGGGTGATGAGTATCTCTCATGTCTAACCTGGGCTTTAATTACAAGTGATTCGGGACCGTGACTTTTACTGACTGTAAAGATGAGATCAAAGCCATAATACTGGGGTTGGAAGGGGTGGGGAGTAGGGAGCCTGCTTCTCTTCATAATCTCTTTTTGGGGCCCAGCATTGAAAAGTTAGGCTTGCGATGTTTATCCTTGAGTCAAATCTGCAGCTTTTCAGCCACTCCCAGCTCCACATGGGATTTGTGTATCCAAATACCTTTACAATTACCCCAGGAAATGGAGTGACTGAGTGCTGGAAGGCAACTGTACGAAAACATGAGGCATAGAGCTAAAGAAAGGTGAAGCTTGGCCTTACAGTGACATAGTAAAAAGTATGCAATATCATTGCATAAGATTTAAAATGAGACTACTGTGTTGTATTCTCTGCCTACAATCATGCTGGATTTTAGCCCATGATAATACAGTGAAAGGAAGGACTAGAGAGATCCTTTCTGGGCAGATTCTTTAAGAAAGAGAAGTTATTTGTTGAGTACTGGCCAGTAATTTTGTTTTGTAACCAAGAATATGTGATTATTTTATTTAAAAAAACCCATAAATCTGTATTCCTATCTACTATGGAAGGTAACGTTTTCTTTGAAAAAACCCTGAAATCTTTTCAGTGACTTTTTTTTGTAGTAGGTAGGCATGTCGTGCCTTCTTAAAATTAAGGTGTGGTGCAGGAATTTCAGTTTATGCTTTAATTGTCTTTAATAGATGTCAAGCATAACTTTTCAGACTTGCCAACTTTTTGCTGCAGGTGGATTTACTGATAAGTCATGAAAACAGCAGTGTTTAATGATTTCAAAATATCATTGGAAGGATCAGTTTCCCGGGGATGTGTTTATACTCTCTAGTATGCCTTTTCACAGTTTAAAATAGTTCTTTGCCGCGATTAACGTAGAAAGCTGATGAAAATTCACTGCAATTATTATCTTAAATTTGCAGAGCGAAATAGATATACAATTGCAACCAGAAACCTGTTTACAAATCACAAAATAATGCTATAATGATATTAGGCAATTTATCTCGCGTTATAACTGGGATCCTGAAAAAAGCAGGAATTTAAGCGCCTGCTCTTTTTCTTTAGAAAAGCAGCGGTACCTGCATTTGACAATAGGTGGCGCTGTCTGCGAGAGAAGTAACCACCTCTTCGCAGCTAATTTTTGATACTGCTCTTAGAGAACAGCTTCAAGACTGGGCCTTATTGTCATTCTGATCTGGTTTAGTGGGCTGTCTGTCAGGGGGCTGCTTTTACATCAGGCAGTCCCCAACCCTGGATGTTGAACGTGCTCCCACCTCCTGCCTCCTTTACACTAACAGACTTGTCTCAGACTTCTCATTTTGTTCGTCAACGGTGGCATTGGGTGGAAGGTTGGACTTGATGATCTTTAAGGTCTCTTCCAACCATAACGATTCTATGATTTTAGTAGTTTGTTGTACTATGAACTAGTAGAAAAGATTATGCAACTTTTAGCACTATCTGTAACCTCTGGAAGAGGCCTGGGGCCAGGCTGATTTCACAGTGATGCAGAGGGCAGACTGAAGTGGACTCTAGCTTAGTTATCAGTTGCCCATCTTCTATCTAATCCCACGTTAAAATCGGGCAGAGTCAAGCTGCTGACATTAATAGCAAAACTGACTAAGTTAATACAGCTTCATCTTAAGACACACGCAAGAGAAAGATCCACAGAGCCTGTGCTGTTATGGAGAAGCCGAAATGCAACATATTGATCAAGCAGATCAGCTTTTAAAATCTTGCTCCAATATACAATGGTCATTATAGATCGAATCTACTCTGATCTTTAATAAAAATGCCATAATTATCGATCACCCAGTATGCTAGTGAACATGCAGGAAGCGAAATCACTTGGTGGAACTTCACAGACTGCAAGTAACTGTGATTGTCCTTAAAATACAGGATAGGTAAAGTTCCTATGAATTTGCTCAGAGGTAGACCTACCGGGAGAAGCTGTAAATCTATCAGGATATCATCAAAGTAATGAAACTCAGAGTTCTCCAGCTCTACCATCTCTTTTTTTATCTCCAGGATCCGGCCAATCACTCCGTCTAGCACTTGCCGAATCGCTGCCCGTTTCTGCCAGTGAACGAGTTGGTCATGGGCCGTCTCCAAGTTACGGAAGATTTGAATGTATTTGATGTAGGAAGTGGCTAACATCTTGAATACTTTCACGCGGTCCTTCTCTGGCTGGAGGAACTCTTCTCTTTCTCTCTGGAGCTGGATGTCAAGGTCTTTCTGGGCATCTGCCCACATCTTATTGTAAGCGCTAATTGAAAAAAGGAGACTATGTTAACCTGACATGAAAGCAAGAGTTAGCACGCAACGATGCCAGGGCTCTATGTGTGCAGATTTCCCAAAAAAGCAAGCCTGGAAGTGTGAGCTGGATTTATAAAGAGAGGTTTTTTTTAACATACCATGTATTTTAAAAACCATTAGCAAAAATTTCTCTTTTGGATTGTTTTAAAAACAGAAATCTTAAAATGCTTTTTCATCCATGAAAGCTTAAAAGTTAAAAACTTTCCAATTCATCCTTAACATGCCCGAAGCTACAAGCCCCAGTAGTGCCACGAGTTTCATTCAATTGTGCCGAGATGATGGTTTAACAGAAAAGGTGTCTCCCTATAAAGCCCTTATGATGGGGGAAGGTCTATTTTAGGTCTCTGCATGTTTGGGATGAGGAGCAATTGATGTTTCTAAAGCGTGTGTTGCTTTTCTGCCCTTCTGAAGTGGTTGCTCGGAGCTAACTGTAGGGTAAGGGCTGTATTGGTGCCAGTGCTACAGCATAGCTGTGGCTGCTATTTTAGATGTGAAGCGAGGAAAATAATTCCAATTTATTTCTGTGGCAGCAACTGTTGCACTCCAAGCAATTGCTAAATGTCTGGTCCAGTGGCTAGAGGACTGGGTGACATGGAAGATGCCACCTGAGGCCAGATTCATCTCCAGAAGGGATAATGCTGTTTACTTGGTAGTTTTGGTAGGAATAGGTGGAGCTCTGATGGGGGCATGGACTGGCTGTCAGTAGCTTCTCATGGTAAAAACAGGTCAGTGCAGAATATCATGGGAAATCATCCTAAAGGAACAAGAAATGGACTCCAGGCAATGAGGCTTTTATTCAGAGAAGAGCTCAAATGGCAGGTTTGTCACTCAAAGGTGCTAACATCTGTGGTAGTGAAAGACACTTTTAGGTTCTGTTCAACTTTGTAACCTCTTTGCCAGGTGGAGACCCTCTCTTGGGAGTGACAGGTGTCAAAAAAAAAACTTACATCTTTGAAAATGCTTCTCTGCTGGCAGAGCTAAGGAATTTCTTTTGCACTGAGACTCAGTTATGCTGGGAGAAAACTAGTTGATTCATGTTGTCAGGTTTGCAGGACGAGGGGAAAACTGGGCTAAGGTAACATGGAAAGCTGACTTTTGTTTCTTAGACCTAGAAATAAAGGCCATTGGCCTCAGTGGTGCAACCTAGACTCCTCCCATGTGCCTCACCAAGCTGTTGCTTGCTGTTCCTAGAGCCTCTCAAAGAAGGACGAAGACAGTAAAAGGCCCTGCCTCCACGAGATGAGCTTTCAGAGCAGACCTCTTGCTGGTCTGAGGAGCATTGAGGGAGTGCTGGTGTATTCATTCTGACAAGAAAGCTGGGCAGCTGTTAAGGTTGCTTGTGCTTGATAATAAATGCCTAAGTCAGAGCTCTGTCAGCTGATCTTATCGTTCCCAGGCTGGGAGTACAGAATGACCTTGCAGCTTGTGCTGCTGGAGGGACCAGTGAGGTGGACAGGACAAACTCCAGCCCACAAGTGCATGTCCAGGATGCTGATGGGGCTGTTGGGACCCCCTGGAGCAGCCAGCAAAAACACCAACAATCTGAACCCTCCTATTGAATTTGCACTATTAACTTTTTAACGTGCATATTATACTTTTCAGCTGACCTGGGTTTTCTGCAGGATGCAGCTGGTCCTGTTTTTCCTAATGCCCCTGCAGCCCACCCAGGTCTTTCCCCTTCCTTTTTTCCTACTTCATTTACATCCCATTGCACCACCCGATTCACTCAATTGCAGCAATTAACCCAGGTGCAGGAGATAAACAAAATAAACCCAGCAGAGTGGAGAAGATTGGCACAAACAAGACCAGCATTAGCTTTGACCTAACAGCTCTGCTGGTTGATCAATGGGAGTTTAGCACGCTTCCTCTGAAGTTGGGACACGGAAGAACATACACCGGTGTGAGGCTCACGGGGTTTTCCAGCACAGAAGGAAACAACGTGGTATTATACTTACTTAGCTGCGCCTACTCACAGACTATTTGATAGCGGGGAGGTTATAAATCTTTGAGGATGCCTAGCCCTGTAGGTCTGTTACATCCCTACAACCATACCGCTGATTTATGAACCGTGGGTATCCTCGGGCTAGAGCGTTTCGAATGCAGGTTATTGCATGGAGACAACAGATTGTACCGCAACGAGAACCGACTCCACAATTGTCCACTTCAATTTACAATAATCTCCTTTTCTGCCTCCTCTGACTGAGGAATGTCAAGTGGTTCCTCCTGCTGAGCTTACTAATATCCAGTTTCTTTCTACATTTTGAATGACTTTTTGAGGGAGGAGGGGGATGGAGCGCCCTAGCCCTTGAGAGTATGTTAACATAAGGTAATATAGATGGAACATAATTGCTTCCATAACGCATTAGTTTATCAGATAAGTATTAAGATGATTGCTAGCACGTTGCTGTGGGTCAGATGTTAAGACTATGGATATCGTGGCATGTTTGTAGCTTTTGCAGCAGCGATGCTCTGTGTAAATGAGGGCAAAAGAAGAGACAGGCCCATTGGAAAATGAAGCATTGAAGGAAAAGATTGATGTGGAACTGCTAAATTTTCAACTGTCACAAGCTGATGGCTCCTGTGTACCTTTTGCGGTCAGGGTGAGAAACTGATAGCTCCTGCGTACCTGTTGTGGTCACGGTGAGTGATATCTTGGGGTGACCTAGCCCTGTTCAGTTCATTAGGCATGTGGTGAGGAACAGCAGATACTTGATAACTGGACAGTGCAAGCAGAAATGTGATTTGAGTGTTTCTTGGTTCACCCTGATTAAAAACTAGAGGACACGTGCACAGCCATTTGTTTCCCTTTCCCAAAAAAGGGATTAAAATAATGATTTCAGGTTTTACTAGTGTCCAAATGGGAGCCCTTCTGGACTAGTTTGAAGGATGAGATGCGCCCAGTGTTTACAGCCCTTTCTGGGGGACTTGGTAGAGCTACTATAATCCTGAGGAGCCCTTCAGCTTTGGAGACAAATGTGTTCAAGGCTAATCAGGAGAAATGCACGTCTTCAAGGCTATGCATTAAAAGCAAAGGACAGGACTGACTCTCGTTGCCTGTTAATCAGACAGCATGTGACACCCCCCCCAAGTCCCTATTTGAATTTTTGCCTATTTGCTCAGTCACCCTGAGCATTAAGTTGTAAACTCCCTCAAAATTGCTTCCATGCGCTGAATGGGGGAGTACAACGCAGCCTTGAGCGCACAGGCTTTTTATTTACTGTTACTAGTTCATCCTGTAGGCTTGTTCCTGTTCTTTAATGGGTAGGTTGTGAGCTGTGTCCATGCCTGAGAACAATACTGCATCAGAATTAGATTAGGTTACAGCATCTAACTAGCCTACTAGTGCAGGTACCCAGCAGGACTGTGCATAATTTTCCTACTCAAGGCATAAGATTATTAAATCCTGGAAAAGAAAGAAGTCTGTCTCTTGATCTCTGCATGTGTATAGCAGTATAAGTAATGCTGCAAATTGTCATAGCAACTACAAAATAGGAGCGTTATGGGGAAAATAAGCAATGCTGTAATGGGATGAGGAAAAAACACATAAAGTGACTTAACTCCAGAGCCCCGGGGGTGCTTTCTGGCAGCTTAGAGCTTGGAGGGAAGGTCAAGGCTTTACCGTCTAACCGATGTCCCTTCTCTTTGCTCCCACAGAGTAGGAACGGAGTCTAAAACAAGAGCTTAAGACGACTCTTTTGCCATAACGTGACTTCTAGTTTGAATCTCACTTTAATTGCTCAAAATAAAGCCTGATCCGCTTATTTAGAGCAAAGCTTAGAAATTTGTTTTTCTGCTCAAGTTATAAAGAGATGTTTAAAATCCTGCCAAACCATATATATTGCCTCATTTTAATATTCTAGGGCCCTCTAACTCTGCGTGTTTGCTTGACCCATCTCTTCTTACACTTAGAAAAATGTATTGGTTTTGAGTACAGCTGAGGTTAGCCTGCTTACTTGTTTTGAGACCTAAGCATGCCCTTCTTGGAAGGATTTGTGCTAGGCGTGCAAACTGTCCCTCAGGCTACTCTTGAGCCAATAGTGGAATCTGGCACCAGTTGGGTTACCTTTGTGTGGGTGGTTGTTCTTTTTTCCTCTCCCAAAGTGTCTTGGTTTTTTTACTTAGCTGCCACAGGGAACACTATTTCTGTTATTCCAGGACATGGCACAGTTTGCGCTCCAAGCTGTGTCCGTCTCTGGATTTGTATATGGGCTGAACCCAGGCTGCTTTGCTGCCTGGCTCTTCTGGGCTGTCCTCTGAGGACGGAAATATCTCATGCTTTCGCACGCCGACCACGTAAATGCAGAGTGTAGTACTGCATGGGCCCTACTGTTCTCTTCTGATGGATGGGCACATGGAAAGAGATGGAAGGGAAAACATTTGACTCTGACTTGGCCCAGCTCTCCACCCAATACGGTGCTAAATTGGGTGTGTTTTTAAAACCTTCCTGAAGCATCTATGCTGCCACTGCAAACTACCTGCATTTCCTTCTCAGAGGATTAGATTGGGAATGGAGAAAGCACCGGCTTGTGAGCACAAGGAGCCCAGCACTGTGCAGAACAAGCCAAATGTCACGGAGAGGAGAGGCAACTGAGACGTGGGTCTAGCGACAAGGAAATGCGTGCAGGGGCCAGTCCTCAGGGTCTCCTCGAGATACTTGGGGCTTGACAGGTCAGCCATTGTGTTAAGCCCTGGGCAAACACGGGGGAGGGAAACCCTGCCCTGCAGCCTCTGTAAAATAAAGAAACAAGAGACAAAGGTTGGGAGGGGAAAGTGAGGCCCTGAGAGGAAAAGGGGCTTGCACAAATGCTGCTGCTGGCTGTTTTTTCTTCTCTCTTTCTAAAAATCACCAGATTTAAAATGACTGCTGGCTTATTCAGGTCAGCAGTTACCTCTTCCCCCACTACAACCTGCTCAGGTATTGCATGGGGATTGCTGGG